TTAAGTTACAAAGTCAAAACAGCAATAACCCAAACAATTGTAGAATATTATTTCTTGTCCCAGCAATAGAAAGAACTAAAAATAGTAACCGTCTGGTCCTGGGGTTGGGGTGGGGCTGGAGATTCTGACGGGGGCAATGGTGTGGAGTGTCTTCTTTCTCTGTCAGAGTTGTGGCAGGCGGTGCCCATCTGGGCTGATTATTTATTGAGGAATATGACAGGCAATTCCCAGGTGCATGCAGTTAGGTAACAATGCACCCACAACACTGCAGATTCCCAGGAAAGAGTCTGAGGAAGGACCACACAGCAGCCGGAGCAGCCATGCTCCAGCTCAGCAACTGGGTTTCCCCAGGGGAGCACAAAACGCCCCTGCATTTTAAAAGGTGTTAAGGCAAATTCCTTAGGGAAGCTCCCTTCCCTGCAGAGACAAGTTTTAGAGACACAAAATCTGGGTCACTGGCTGGAAAGGAAGGGACAGGGAGTCCCCCTGCGTCTGTCTCATGCTGGGATAATGGGATGCTAACTGACACAGCCCTGAGTTCGGGTTGCCAGGTAACCAGGGGACCGCAGAGCCCTGTTTTTACTTCTGGTTGGGGAAAGCCTTTTTTTTTTTTTTGTCTTTTACATGGAGACAGGAAAAGAACACTGCTCACTCCTCATTTAGGCCTAAATAATTACAGTCACCTCTTGTTGACTAAAATGTGTCAAAGGACATAGTTGTTTGTAAACATTGAAGTGGTTAGAAAACCAATGGGGACACTGGAATGCAAACCAGGGGGTGGGAACCAAAGGTAGCCAGCAGGAAAACCTCAGACCCTGGGGCTTCTCTGAACTGATAAAGCCCAGGCTTCAATCTTCAGGCTCTTCTGCCCCTCTCACCGCCCCATGAGTTTCCCTGTTCTTAGAAAACACTCAGGACTTAACACTCCACAAATGCTTGATTTTTTTGAAGTTTATTTGTAGTTCATTCTTTTCTAAAAGAAAAACAAGCTTTTAAAAAATGAGTAATTTAGCAATAAAATAGAACCAATGGGAAAGTCCTCACTTCTCTCTCATATGGAAGGAGCATGGTGTTAGACTGAAAAAGGCTCAGAAGAGATAGGCGGGAAAACAGCTCAATGCTGGCACAGGGTTTATTATGGAGAAGTGGTCCTGTCCTGTGGGGTACCCTAGGAAGAGCGAACTGAAGACCACAGCAGCTTACAGACTGGGGGCAGATATTGGAGGTTGATGTAGAAGTCCTAAGAAGGTCACTGGGCAGGAAAATCCTCAATGGCCCTCTGACCTGCCTGAGATAACCGCTTAAGGGCGGGTCATTTCTTCTAGGCCAGGTTGGGGAGTTGCTAGTAAATGGCTAAAGGTGGGTGTCTATTTTACTTTAGGGCAGGGTGGAGAGTTTCCAGTAAGTCACCTTCAAGGTGGAGGGTCCAATTTTGACATGGCTTCCTTTTTGTTCACCCTAACATTCCTGCCTTTTGATATCATCTGTCTTTCTATCTGTCTGTCTGTCTATCTAGGAATGGGACACCGATGTTCCTCTATCTACTTCCTGCTGCACATGGATGGCAAGGTCTCAAGGGGAGGGGGTATCAGCAGGGTCTTCTTGCTTTAGGTGACTGTAGTGGGCCTATTGGAACACATGGGAATTTAAAGCCTCACATCTTAGGTGAAGCCGATTTCTTCTCACCTGCTTAAAGGCTGAGAATCTGCAGCCCACAGGACAAGTGGTAGAAGCGAGCTGTGTGTAGCTAGGTGTGGGTGTGTATGTGTGGCCATCAGGTTGTGGTTTTGTTGTGTGTCTATGACATCATTACCTATCCCTTAGGACACCTGACAGGAGGCTTGCTATACTGATCTGCCCTGAATATGGCAAACAGTTTGAGGCTGAGCTATTGAAGGATTATCAACCACACGGGAATATTTTTCATCTAAGGCAAACCTCATAGAGAGAAGTTTCTTCAGATTCTGTTGTCGGTACAAAACCTGGTAGGACTGAAGAGACAGGTCCTCAGACTACAATCTTCACACTGCCTGCCCAGGAAGCCTGAGTCTTTAAAAGTGATGAAAGCCAAAGCAAAATAAGCCTTAGCCAGGCTAATTGATGCCTGCAGTTAGCACGATGGATAATTAACTCTTGATGGGCCAATGAAGTGATTTTCCTATCAGAAAAACCTGGACATCTGAGAGATTGAACTGGAGTAGAGTGTAATACTTCAATATTTAGCAGAATATATATCTTTTTGGGTGGTACTGGAGTTTGAATGAGGGCCTCATTCTTGCTTGACAGGTGCTCTACCACTGGAGCTACACCGTCAGCCTGCAGAAATTCTTAAAGTTGTTAATAGCCTTCTGTAAGAGTAATCTTGGCTAAATTAGCAAAGGCTGCTAGCAGACAATGAGCAACACTAAAGGCCTTTGGCCCTTTGTTCTCCAACGGTAGAGATGTCTTGGGTTAGTTAGGAGTTACTCAGGGAAACCAGTACATATTCATGGTTCCAACGTGGGATAAATTGTAGAACACTACAAAATGTTATTGCTTCCTCAACATTTCCATACACATGGAATCTGGGCAGATGAGTCTCAAGGGGAAGGTGGAAAGGGAAATGATTTCATAAAAAAGCACAAAATATGTGGAGATGATACTTTGGCAGGGCTAGCCTAATTCCATGGTCTTCTAGGCAAAGGAGATGAGCAGTAACTAGTCATTTCTGTATGTTTATGCATATTGTGAGCATCTGTATATTTGTAGGTACAAATACAAATATGTAAGCACACGTGCAAACCTCCTTTTTGTCTGTGCTGGGATTTAAACCATGGCCTTAACCACTCTACCACTGAGCCCAATCCTACCCTAAGCCTCACTTCTAGTGAGAATGCGCACCCTACATTTTCCTCTAATAGTTTTTTTGTGGTATTGGAGTTTGAACTCAGGGCCTACACATTAAGCCACTCCAACCAGTCCTATTTTTGAGATGGGTTTTTTTTTTTTTTTTTTTTTTGAGCTAGGGTCTCAAGAACTATTTGCCCAGCCTGGCTTGGAACCATGATTCTCCTGATCTCTGCCTCCTGAGTAGCTAGGATTACAGGTGTGACCCACTGGTGCCCGGCTATCCTTATTCTTTTTCAGAGCTTAGATTCTACTGAATCTGAGATCTGGAGACACCTGAGCTGGTCCTTTTGCAGGCATGTTGGTTTGTGGAGTAGCAGGGTTGGGGCCAGGATATATACTATTCAGTATATGGTGTAACTGCAATGAAAGTGTGATTTATGAATTGTGAGTGGGCAGACAGAAGAGGGAAGAGAAGAGAATCAGGAGAGCCAAAGGTTATGGAGATGATGATCCACAGGGAGTTAAAATGCCAGAACCAGGATTTACAGATCCAGAGACTAAAACATGGTTTCCCAGCACCTGTCATGGGCATGACTCCACGGGAAAGACTACAGCCTGATGAAGAGGCATTATTCTTCTCACACACATTTCCCCACATCCCAGAGACATCTTGATGGCCACACAGCACTTTACTGCCTGTCACTCTTTTTTCCTTGGAAGAGCAGAAGAAAGAGGAAATTACTTTCCCTTCTCCAGGGGAGTGAATTGTCAGTTCAATTTGAAGCTCCTCCCTCCTTTTTGGGCTCAAGTCAGGAGAGAACTGGTTTTATTAGAGTTTATCCATAATTCCTCAGGAAACTGAATGTACAGTTTCACGGCATGTCAATGTCAAGTGCAGG